ATTTTTGATATTTAAGATCAAAAACTTGTTTTTTTCTTGAAAATAAAAAAAAATGATTTTTGTTTATTTGCTTATTCAAACTATTATTAGTCTAAAATTTTCCAAATAGAAAAAGAAAATGAAAAAACGCGATGCATACTTTTGTAGCCCGTCAAAAGGCGGTTCGAATGGTATTTGAACGAAGGTTCTATAGTCTAGAAAAAACTAGATAGGCTTACAAAATTGAGGACCACTCTCGCTGCGAGGTTATTTAATACCTCTTATGAAATCGGACAGGTGATACATGATAAATCTCTGAATAATGAGAATCAACTCAATTTTTCACGAGGAACTCGAATATGCCATTCAAAAAAAAGCAAAAGACCAATCAATAAAAAGTTTTCAGGGCATTCACTGGCAGATTGCGTTTTTTCTGACTTTTCTGTATCTTTCAGTATTTTGGGTTTTTCTAAATGACAGGTAGATCAAATAAAAAAAAGTAAGGTGATATTCGTGATCAGCGTCAAAAACTAAGTCTAGGGATGTTATTTTTAACGAAAAATAAAATCTGTTGAAGTTTTGGATTACGCGCACCTTAGTTCGTATCCATACTTCTATGCGTTCAAAAAAAAAACTATTTTTCTGAATCCTCCACTGATTTTGAGACATTCACTGAAAAAATAAACAGTGGTATATCAATTTCAGACTTCGTACATAGAGAGACGTGATGGTTCTCATAATATTCTGAAAGTTTTAGCTGAAATAAACATATCTTTGTCGACATATTAAATATTTGAATATGCACGATTTTCATCCGAAATAACTAGGTGTTTTTGAAACTGAATATATCGAGAAAGAAATACTGTTTTCGGTTGAGACTTTCAGGATATTTTAACGAATACTGTACGTATTTATGGGCAGAATCTAAAGTCGAAGATTCGAACTGTGATTTTAATGAAACGCTAGAATGATCGATTACAACCGAGTCACAATTTATACTCATATTCTCTTACGATTTGTCTAGTCTATACATCTCTTGTGCATGAAATTTTGAACTCAGAAGCATTTTAGCATCTGATGCGGAGGGTCGTTCGAGTGAGAAAATAACAAAAATTCATCTTTATAGTACGTATATTTTTCTCTAAAATTTTCAATGAAAATATCGAAATATTAAATTTTGTTGTATGTTTTTAGTTGATAACGGTATTCGTATATCACTTGATGCCACGAATGATGATGTATTATATAAATTAAAATCGTCTAATAATAAAGAAGAAGAACTAATAATTCTACCTTATTCAATGGAAACAAATGATATCTCATTATGTATGTGTCAAGGTTATACTGGTCAAGAATATGGTCAAACATTAGTAGATTATGTAGAAAGCCTATCTATAGAAAATAAATCAAAATCTAAAGTTGTTTGTTTGGGATTGCATACATTTATTGTGGGTACACCAGCGAAGTCTCTTCATTTAAAGAAAGCCCTTCAAAGTATTAAGCAAATGCCGAATGTTTCGTTTTTTAATTGTGAACAATTATTAAAATTATGTTAAAGAAAGTTTTGTGCTCGCTTTCATATGATTAATAACTTTGAAACTAGAATTCATTGATAATAAATAATATAATCTCAATCACTAAAAAGCTTGATCTAAGCGTTTGAAAGATTTGAATTAGAACTGTTGCTTCTTATGTGTCAAATGAAGACATGTGTCGTTCAAAAATACATATCAATTATGAGCCAATTCACGTAAGGCGTGACCGATGCCAAAAGATTGTTCTCCATCGAGGTCGTCAGATCTTGTTCAATTGAACAAATGTTGTAGAGGCAAGAGATTTACGAATTTTGGGTGGGTGTGGGTGTGGGGTGTGAGTGTGGGGTGCGGCTGTAGGTGTGGGTGTGGGGTGCGGCTGTAGGTGTGGGTGGGATGTGGGTGTTATGGCACATATGTTACATGTGCCATAAGAGAAAATGTTATATGTAATATCCATATATGCTCGTTATCTTTCTCTTGTCATATGCAGGGTGTGGGTGTGAGTGTGAGTATGGATCGGTGCGGATGTTGGTGTGGGTATGGATCGGTGCGGATGCGGATGTGGGTATGGGTGTGAGTGTGGGTCGTTGTGGGTGTGGGTCATTGTGGGTGTGGTGCATTGTGGGTGTGGGCATGGGTCGGTGCGGATGTGAGTATGGGTGGGTGTGGGTGTGAGTCGGTGTGCGTGTGGTGTGGGTGTGGGTCGGTGTTAATGTGAGTGTGGGTATGGATGTGGGTCGGTGTGGGTGTGGATGTGTGGGTCGCTGTGGGTGTGGGTATGGATGTGGGTCGGTGTGGGTGTGGGCATGGGTCGGTGCGGGTGTGAGTGTGGGTATAGGTGGGTGTGGGCGGGGGTCGGTGTGGGTGTGGGTCTGTGTGGGCATGGGTCGATGTGGGTGTGGGCATGGGTCGGTGTGAGTGTGGTGTGGGTCGGGGTGAGTGTGGGTGTGGGTGAGGGTGTGGGTTTGGCTGTGAGTGTGGGTGTAGGTGTGAGCATTTATGTCGTTAAAACTACTCACGCAAACCCATACCCACACAAACACCCACCTCTTTTTTCCAAGTATAACTCATAATACAGATACTATTGATTTCTAACAAAAAAACGGTCCAGTGTTGCCTTTCTTTCTTTTTGAAAAGGAAAGCTAAAAAACAATAACTTTCTTTTGATTTGTGAAATTTAAAAGAAAGTGAAAACGTTATCTCTACTCGGCAAAGCTCAGAATAAGTATGTCTCAACGTGGTTGATATTGATAACTCGTTATTACTTTCATTGTCACTGATAAGATTTCGGGAGTATTCAAGAAAAAGAACAGCTGTAATACGTGGTTTTGTCAACTTCAATCGTATTAACCGGTGACAAGAATCAACAAAACATATATGTTGTGGTGATTAAATGATTTTTAATAAAACAGCCTTGTGACAAAAAACTGCACCTGCTTTTCAAACATGAATCGATCGAATATTTTCAAAATTGTTCATTTGAGCTTCTCTTTTCTACTCATTTTCATGTCGTTCTTCGTGGTACAAATGTTTCAAACATCTTCTGCAGATCCCAGTGCTGGTGCCATTGGTTTATTTCTACTCTACACAAGTTTATGTGTGTCAAGCTTGATTTTATCGTCCTATTTAGTGCAAGTGTTAGGTCTTCGCTTGTCACTTACCCTAGCTAGTTCTATCTACGTAGCTTTTGCTGCTTGTAACATCGTATATATCAAGTGGATACTATACGTTGTTTGCTTTACTCTGGGTATTGGTGCAGCAGTTCTGTGGACGGCTCAAGGTGCGTATCTGACACTAGCAAATAATGAACATGAAACTCGCAATCAACTCGTGCCTTCATCAACGCGTGGTTTTATGAACGGAATCTTTTTTGGAGTGTTTCAATTTAGTCAAGCACTAGGAGCTCTACTCGCATCTCTACTGTTCTATCTTCAGTTGCGTGAATGGATCATTTTCTCTATTATGACCATAATTTGTGCTTTTGGAACGATTACTTTATGCCTACTGCCACCTGTACGTATGCCAGCAAAAACAGGTATAGAATGGATGCTCAGTTTTCGTCTAATATCAGACATTAAGAAAAATTCGTCTCAAGACTTGTAAAACTCAGCATGATCTGATTAAAATGCTTGAACCTTCTTCCATAAATGATTCTTTTTCCGTCAGTAAGAAATTGAGAATTAGAACATTGACTTTTGCTGGAAAACAGTCCTTATAGAAACGAAAATCTTTTGGAGATTCAATGAGCGTTTATTTTAATCTTTAGAACGAACACAAAGGTCAATGATCTCTAGCTTATCGCTGCTGAAGAATGCTCATTTACTGTTTCTCGTGCCAACAATGGTCTACTATGGCATCCAGGAATCGTTTCTCTACGGTGGCCTGCCACCATTAATTAAGGACAAGACTCGTAAATATTTTGTCTTTGCTGTAGCGAATGTTGTAAATACAGTTAGTGCCATAGCTTTTGGAAAGCTTAGTGATAGATTTTGTTGTCGCTTGCCCGTTTGTATTTGGAGTTTACTACTACCGACTGCTCTCTATGCACTTCTCCTAACAATCTGGAAACCTCCCATAGATCAACAAAATATTTACGTATTTATCGCACTAGCCATTGGAATCGGCATGAGCGATGCCATTTTAAGCATAGAATTAAGTGCTATATTAGGCACGTTCTTTGGACAGACGCGACCTTCCGATGCTTTCGCCAACTTCAGATTATTTCAAGCAGGCTCATTAGCGCTTGGTTTTCTACTACTAAATTATTTCTCACTTCGTGTGTCGCTGTTAACACTTATCTCCATGATGGTAGTCTCCTTGACGACACTTATTATTTGTCATTATGGCGTTTTATCAATTGATACTGGAGCAAAGGCATCGACGACAATTGAAGAAAATAAGACGACTGAAGAAGCAGAATCACCTTTGCAGACAGAATTAGCTGCTAACACTACGAAAGAAATCCTTTGACATCATTATCATATATAATTCGGCCAGCATCAACTCGTATTTTCTAGAAAAACTTAGCAAAGTTTTGCATTGATTACATGTTACGACTATTTTTTAGAGAAATCTAATTTGAACTGCTGATTTCATAGCTGTCGATCATTGATTTTTCATCAAAGTTTCCAACGATACCTGTAAACGTCATAATGACAATATGTGGCAACAATGAATAAATTGAAAGATTTTGTCTGAAGACTTGAGTCATAGTATTGGTGATAGTATGAATGTAGATGAAAAGGAAAACTTTATACTCGTTTAATAAAGGCAAGACATATTAATACTCCAACATCTTATTAGCAAGCTCAAGTTACGTTTTGATTCGTTGACTGATTTGTTCAAGAGAATCAAGAGGCTCTTTCGTTGGCTATATATAATTATTTGAATTGGCAAAACTTAGACAAATAGCACGCTTTGACTGGATATAAAATATAGGATTCCTTCGTACATAAGAGTGTCCCTCTAACAATTGAGTGATGAAAGTCATATTAGTTTTTTGTAATGTCTCGATCACAACAAAGACTTTTTATGTGGTTGCTCATTGAAGCTACAATTTGGACACTAAAAACAGATCTCATATGAATCACACAATGCTCACTTAGTTCTTTTTATTCTTTGATAAACATCGATACAGTGATTGTTGTCTATTAATAACCGTCATCAGATGGATGTGTCAATAGTAGGTAGAAAAAAAACACGAAGTTTTTTATGAGTATCTTTCTCTTGGGCTTTTTTTTTTCAGTTTTGTTGACACGTTATGAAGCCTCGTTAAAAATGAAGGGAACATCAAGAATGCATTTCTGATAGGATTGACAAGTTTTATATACAGTCAGCAACTTCTGAGCATTACTAACACAACCTACCTCAGTAAAAAACTCAGCTCTCAGTAGCATACATCCCTTGTTTTTTTATCTCACGGTCGCTCGCTAGAAGGTGCTGATTTTAATATGCATACCAGTATATCTGATTCTAATACTATAAATTACTTACGAGAATAGCCGAATTCAAAACGGATCATTTATCATAGGTTACATGTGTTTGTTATACTATATTTTAATTATACTTTTTGCTCATCGTCTATTCAAAACCGAATGCTTTAGTGAACACATATGTAGCCTATTCTAGTATGCAAATAGAGGAGTACTTTCGATATAAAAAAAATATTCACAAATCCTACCACACTCACACCCATATTCTTTAAAATGAAACTGAATTACATCAGCAAGTGCATGCCCATTACAATAGTAGATTTCTGAAAAACTTATGGAAAAATACTTCTATGCACACACATGCCTAGTTTTATCATGTCACATAAATCAAGAAGAACCGATATTTTCTAGTTGCAGCCATGTAGTTTCAAGAGAGAATGTAGGTCTCGAAAACTTCGTATCATGAAAGACTAGAAAATAATGTTTAAGAGCTGCTGTTCCCCATTAGAAGTCATGTTTTTCATGATTCTATTCATTCTGACGAAGTTTTCTGCTTTTCTGTGTGATGATCTTTTTGTTGTGTTTGGGCGTTGTTACGTACATGTGGTTAAGTAAGAGGATCTTCGTAGATGCTTGACCTGCTTCTTGTCTCAGCTGCTAATTTCAACTGTTTTTCGATGTTCAGCTCTGTTGGATAGTCAATAAACTTGTTGTTGAAGTGTCGCTTAAGCATCAGCTACATGAAAGAGACTATTAATAATCCGTGCGAGTGGAACACATAATGTCTGAGAATTCTATGAAGATACTGAACGTATGTCTATTGTAGCTTGTCTTATATATAATCGCATATCTTGAGTCTTGACGAGTGTTCTCCTTGTGTGACTTCATAGCTACTCGAGGGTTCGGTTGGGCTTACAGACGAATCTATGAAAGAAGTTTGAGTTTTTTCTATTTGATTGAAGTATTCCATAAACTGATTGATAGCTGTCATCATGTTCTGTGTATATGAATATATTGAAACTGGTGCATGTGCAAGCACATATAAACATATGTGATTTAGCAGACATTTTTTGAGAAAGATTTTTATGG